ATCAATATAATTATTGGAAAGCCTCCAATGTGTCTTCTCACAGAGGAAGTTCCTGATGTTAGTTGGATTTGGCATCGAAGGCTTGCTCATTTGAATTTCTGATACATGAATGATCTTGTTTCTAGATAAATGGCATGAGGTTTGGTACTCCTCAAGTTTGAAAATGATCATCTATGTGCTACGTGTGAATGTGGGAAACAATGTAAAAAAGGCACATCATGTTCTGATACATGAATTTCAGAACCACTTGAACTTCTTTATATCGATTTTTGTGATTCGTCTGTCAATAATATCTTACACCACAAAAGGTATATTCTTGTGACTTTCGATGACTACACAAGATTCACATGGGCTTTCTTTCTAAGCTTGAATTCAGAAATGGCTTCCGAGCTAATCAATTTTATCAAAGGAATTGACTTCAGTAATGCCAGAATTGAAAAGTTCTTAAATGACAAAGGCATTGAACACCACTTTTCCACTCCCTATACTCCACAACAAAATGATGTCGTTGAACATCGAAATCGAACTTCAATCGAAGCCGCTCGGTCGATGTTGAAATTTGCAAATCTATCTCTTTATTTTTGGGCTAAAGAAGTATCCACGACTTATTTTACTCAAAATCGGAGCATTATCAACCTACGACTGAACATGACACCGTATGAAGTAATGAATGGTTGGAAGCTTGGTATCTCACTCCTACACATAATTGGATGCAGATGTTTCATCAAGAACAACCGTTTTCAAATCACCAAGTTTCAACCGAAATCTGATGAAGCCATCTTTTTGGAATACACTGCTAATTCCAAAACTTACTGGGTTCTTAATCGTCAGACCCGTTTTATTGAACAAAACTTTGATACAACTTTTGATGACAATTTGTTCAAAACTCAGAGCCAACTCATGTTACAACGCACATCCTTGAGTTTGATGCATCACCTACTGGTATCCGATTCCTCAAGTAATTTATGAAGTTGATTTGGAAAATTTGTGCGGACCAATAGAAACAACACTTCACACAAAATCTCGATCGACACCATCCTCAACTTCAAATCCTCCTGTTTCTTAAAACATGTATGGTCCAACCCCAACTATTCCTCCATTTGATTCATAAGTATTCACATCTCGGGTTGAGGGAGAGAATGCCTCTACTTCTATGCCCCATGGGTAGGGAAGTAATCCAACACTCAAATCCAATATTCATGGTTTTCAAGATACATCCGATCAATTTGTAGAAATTAATCCAATTTCGAAGAACAATGATGATGATGCTAACTTGTTTAACTTTTTGAATGAAGACAATGCAGATATATCTGCTTCAAAAGTTCGGGGGACATCATAATAAAATTTAAACTATTTAGGGGGAGAAAAACAAGCCCATTGTTGGCGTCGAGTCATCTGCTGCACAATAACTTCCAAGATTACATATATGGAAAAAGGATCATCCTATAAATAAAGTTATCAGAAATTTGAATGTTGGATTTCAAACTCGCTCTGCTAATATTCTAAATCAGTTTCACTTCTCGACATTTATATCAATGGTTGAACCCAAATCCATTAAAGAACTCTAGAACATTCTTATTGGATTACTGCCTTGAAAGAAGAGTTAGCCAAATTCGACCAAAATCAAATATGGACTCTTATCTGTCCTCATGGTCACCGAATTTTCGAAACTTGTTGGGTTTTCCAAAACAAACTCAATGATGCATGAGTCATTATCTGAAACAAAGCAATATCGATGGCTAAAGGATTCACTCAGATTTAAGGTCTAGATTACCATGAGAGCTTTGCACCAGTTTCTCGCATGTAAGTCATCCGATATTTCTTGCATATGTTGCTCACAAGGCCTTCAAAGTTTATTAGATGGATGTCAAAAGTTCCTTCCTCAATAGTGAACTAGATAGTGCAGTTTCTCTTCAATAACCTCCTGGTTTTATAAATTTAGATTATCAAAACTACTGCTACAAACTCTAGAATGTTGTATATGGCCTTGAGAAAGCTCCTTTGGCCTGGTACGAGACTTTTACTTGTTTTCTAAAGTGATTTGGTTTTTAGATAGGGGTTCTTGATCTGACATTGTTTTGAAGATCAAATGGAAAACACCTCCTATTCATTCAAATATATATCAATGACATCATCTTTCGATCAACTAATCTGACGATGGTTGTTGACTTTGCCAAGTTGATGGTTATCTGATTCAAGATGAGTATGAATCGAGAATTAAGTTTCTTTCTTGGATTTCAAGTCAAACAAATAAATCGAGGAACCCTCATTCACCAAGAGAAATATATTTCTGAACTTTGAAAAAAATATTCAATGGATACTTGTATCTCTGCTAAAGTTTTGATGGCTTTTGGACATAAGACCTTTTCCGGCCCAACTAGTGAAGTCGTTGACCCGAAGATGTATAGAGGAGTGATAGGAGCAATGATATAACTCACTATAAGTTGCCCATACATTATTTTCTAAACAAGTCTATGTTCAAGATTCTAGGTTAATCCGAAAATGTCTCACCTCTTGGCGGTGAAAAAAAAAAGTCGATATCTTAAAGGAACAAAGAGCCTCAGAATTTGGTACCTTGTAAATGATATCTTTTTGTTACAAGATTATTCGGAATCAAATTATGGTCAACTTCAACTTGATAAAAAAATCACATTTTGGTAGATGTCAATTTCTTGGTGGAAGATTGGTTAGCTAGTCATCCAAGAAGTAGAACTACATAACACTTTCAACAGCCGAAACGAAATACATTATTGTTGCAAGTTGCACCTCTCACGTTCTATGGATCAAATCTCAGATGTTGTACTATGGTTTCCGATTCCAGTAGATTCCAATCTATTGCGATTCAGAAAGGGCTATCATGATTTCTCATAATCTGATTCAGCACTTTGTGACCAAACATCGATATTTGGTACAATGTCATTAAAGACCATGTTTTAAATAGTAATGTTGAGCTCATTTTTATTCCATCGGATGATGAGAGTATTGATGTTTTTACCAAGGAATTGGACAAGATCAAATTCAACAGTTTTCTAAAAAAAATGGGAATAATGATCCATGATTCTCAGTTCTTCCAAGAAGTCTAAACTCTCTGATAGAAACATTTTAAAGTCAAATTATTCTAACTTAAACACCTTTCACATTGGAATTGTTTCTTCTCAAAAAATAAAGGATCACCATATGTCTTTTTTATAACCTTTTCATTTAATTTTAATCTTCTTATGATTGTTGTGTCTTGTCATGAAAATTTCAGTCCAAAATTACTTTTTTTAAAGATCTAAAGAAATCTTTTATTGAGATCCAAAATTTTCACATTCAGATATCTCCATGAAAATTTTATCTAGGAATTCAAATCTGAAATGGTAATGTGATCTCATTTCTCTATACTCTTCCAATCTCTAATCCTTTTGCTCACAAAACTTCTTAAATCCCTTTGAAATCTCAATACCTCTAAGATCTTCCATGTAAATTTTGTCTCTAATATCCATCTAAGATTATGTGCCTCATCTCAGATCAAAAACAAACATTAGTGAGTGATTTCTATTTTCCGAAAGCATTTTATGTCTACCATACTTCATAATTCTAATAAACATGTTTTGGCATGAGTTTCAATAAATGAATAGGTGTTATTCTGAGTTAAATCAATCATTATCCTTTTTTTAGCAAACAAACATCCCATATTTTTGGTCTAACTATCAGTTTAAGGGGTATTTGATTACTCAGCATTTAATGTAACTTGTTTTGGACTCAGGTGTCATTATTGGTTCTTGACCCAACACTACTAGAAAAAAGCCCTTTAATGACGCGCAAACAATGACACGCGCCGATAGAAGACGCACATTTGTGTGTGCCCTAAAATATAATGTCAATTTTGCAAAATTTGAAGGATAGTTAGTGGACACGCATTTTTTGGCCGCCCTAAAGTTAGTGTCCAACAAAAAAAGAAAAAAAACACGGAGGGCACCTATCCTAAAAAGCGTGACCTGTAATTGTGTCGCTTTATAATTGTAGACTATGAGCACGCATTTTCGTTTTTTAATAGCCAAAAAATTAAAAACCCCGCCTGTTGCATCTCCTCCTTCCACAGGAACGCACACCTCACCTCGTTCCACAGAAACGCTCACCTCATCAGAGTCACCATCATCTCTCTCTCTCTCTCTCTCTCTCTCTCTCTCTCTCTCTCTACAAATTCCCTCCATGGTACAGACCACCACTATCTTGTACCACCACCATGGCTGTCGCACCTACATCTCACCTGCAACCTCAACACGATCGACCATCACCACCGTTCTTACCATCCATCGCTGCCCTACCATCTTCTCCATCACCACCTCTTTCTTATTCCATGTGAAACCCTAAAATCGGTACCAACAACTAATAGGGTTTGGAGAAAAACTTGATCTAAGAAAAATCAAAGCAAACGACTTAAAAGATGCTACCATATACTCGTACAAAGCAGCTCAGGTAGGTTATATTTCCTTCGATTCTAACACTCCTTCGTTCTCCCCCCCCCCCCCCGGGCCCTTTCCTTCGAAAACACACATGAATCATGAGTTCCTTATCTTTTCCTATGGGGTTCACGAAGCGTGGTTTATACATCTAGGGTTTCTTAATTTCAAGTATTATGCACACAAATGCCAAAAGAAATATGGTCAACCAGCTCAAATATGGTCCGATTCCAGTTCTCAAAGTCCTCAACTCCGATTGACATGTGATTAAGGCTGAACAGGTACCACAATCCTTATTTTTCTATTTGTATATCTTTGTTTCTTTATTTACATATTTTGTGATTATATTATGATTGTTCAGACCAGCTTGGAAAAAGCTTAGTCTATATGATGTATGATTGTAACAGGTTTGTATCAGAAAGCAAAAATGTTGGGTTCCTGTTTGTTTACTTTAAGGTTGGAATGCTGGATCCCCCAAGAGAGGAAGTCAGAGAGGTTGCTAAGAAAGGAATTGACTGGAATGATGCTAACAATTAGGTTGTAGAGGTTCAGAACATGCTTAAGAAATATGCACATAAAGTGTTTGTAGAAATGCCAAAGAGAGAAAAAAAAAGTGGTGAAACTGTTAAAACTATGGTGACAGCATTGAAGCTAAGAGGTTCTTCACCAAATTCCTCCAGAATGAGGTAGTCCATGAAATTAGTATCAATCCTAATGTATCTGTTCCTTTTTCACATGTTTCTATCTTATAAGGAATTTAATTTATATTCATTGACTTCAAGAGTTCTTCATATTTGTACAGGTGGAAGCAAGCATTGAGTATAATTGTAGGCATGAAGGTCCAGGCAATTATGGTATTTAACACAATTTGGGATGAATCTCAAAGCTTCTCTACAATGTCAAAGCTACTAGAATATATTTATTGGTGGCTATATTGCAAGCCTTCAGTAATGCTATTAGTTTTGTTGTGGACCACAACAAAAAAGTGAGTATTTGATAGAAATATTTTCTATATATTCAGTTTTATATTTTTAATGTTTCTACAACTTTGGATTCAGGTTTTTGTGTGATTGGAGATGTTTCCTTTTTACATGATACTAATCGATTAGCACTTCTGAAATAGAGGTACAAAATACAAATCTTATATTTCTCATATTTTTATATTTATGTGTTTGCTAAATTTCTTGTTTTTGAAGGATTTCAAGAAAACGGATGACATTAATTTTACTAGATTATTAGGGGTGGAACGTTCCCACATGGGCATCTTCACTGAGTTGGGTGTCCTTTACGCCAGATACCGCTACGAGATTATTAGGTCTGGAACGTTCCCACACGGAAGTATGTATAATGGAGATTTTGTTTTTGGTAATTGCATTTGCAGGCAGGGCAGCTTCTTCTTGTGAAACCATATATGGTTGCAGTCAGAGCAACAATGTATCTTCTGTAAATGAGGCATTGAATGAAATATATCTGGAGGAGGAAGACTATGATAGGTTACGTAAGTCTATTGATTTTCATGACAACTTTGACCAGATTGGCCTTGCGCAGAAGGTACTTTGTTTGTGGTACTATTATTATTGTTATTTAATGAAGTGAATTGTGATGTCATGATATTGATTGATGCATATGGATTGTTGCAGATTGAGTCATGGATGCCATGTCTGAAAGGACTAAGCCCTTTTTGGTTAATGGGTTTCAGAATGATTTCATTTTGCTTGATTTTAGCTGCTTCCATTGCTGATGTTGCTACTCATGGCACCAACTTATTTAACTATTATACCCAGTAAGTCATCTACTACTACCACAAACTTGCAATGAGAATGAGTATGTTGTTGCTTTTTTATAATTATTTCTCTAACCTACAACTTCTGTTTGTGTTTAGGTGGACTTTGATGTTGACAACAATCTATTTTCTGGTATTTAAATTATCGGTTAATCAATTCATGTAGGTTGAGTATGAATATTATTCAAGTGTCACCATTTTCTTTGACTTGGTTTTGTCATTTTTTATTTTTGCTTAGTTTGGATCGGTGGTATCTGCTTCCGGATGTTTCCGGAATAACAAAAAGAAGATGTATAATGCTCATAGCATAATAGATACAGAGCAAGGAATTGGAATCTATATGAGTCTCAATCATGCAGGAAAGGAGAAACCAATAAATCTTCAAGAGGAATGTTATCTCTCACAAACTGTTGCCATTTGGGGCTACATTTTTCAAATTGTATTTCAGGTGCTTTAACTTTAACATAATATGAAAATATTAAATAATTACCCCTTTGGAAATCAATCTAATCTCATCTGAAACTTAATTTTTTCCTTCACAGATTATTGTTGGAGCAGTGATGCTGATTGATGGTGTTCATTGGCTTGTAATCTTCCCATTTCTTAACATTTCCGATTATGAAATGAGTTTTGTAAGTCTTTATAATTACTTTACACCATTTTTCGTGATTTGGAAGTTTTTTTGTGGGGTTTAAAGATTTAATTTTTTATTGTTGTTTTTTCTTAAAACCAGTTGACAGTTGTTGTTCATTCCCTTAATCTTGTTATGGTGCTAGGAGACACTGCCATGAATAGCTTGGTAAAATTTCTTCATCATTAATTTGTTTTAATAACTTTTTTTTCTTATATTCTAACTTAAAAAATTGAAATGAAACACTCTTGTTTCAGCATTTCCCTTGGTTCAGAATATCATATTTTATCATGTTCACTGTGTTATATGTGATCTTCGAGTGGATTATTCATGCCTTTGTTTCAACATGGTAAGTATACAAAACATTAGGTATGGGTGGAGGAGGATTTGCTCCACCACCACCAATGGGTGGAATGGGGATGCCACCTATGCCACCATTTGGAATGCCACCAACAGGCTCTTACTGATTCATTCATTATTGGTGGTTGAAAGAACAAACTTGAACAGTTTCGAGTCGTGTGTTTTTTGGGGTTAAACGGTAGATTTCTTCTAGATATGAGAATAAATAAGGCGTGGTTCTACATTTTTTTTGGGTAGTTGAGGAATTTTTTGCAGGTGGATAGGCAAGATGAGGGACTGTTTGATGATATGTTTTCAGCCAGTGGTTGATGCTTTTGATCCAAGATTATTAGTGGCTCCTACTGTTTCCCATGTCATAAATTTTACTACTGTCAAGGTATTACTTTTTTTATTACATTTCCATTATGGATAAAATTTTATAATATTATTAAATGAATGTGAATTCTAGATATTTTTTTCTTCTTATTTCATATACAGGAAGAGGATTTGTATGAAATTGACATTCCACTAAAATTCACTGCTTCTGTGGGCACAAGGATACATGGTTTAGCATGTTGGTTTGATGTTCTATTCAATGGAAGGTAATAAATTATATACATATATTTTTTTTCTAGTTATTTAGAGAAAAATAATAATAATAATTTTGTATATTGACTTATATTACAACACAGTGCAAAGGTGGTTGACAATTGCCCCTGGTGCACCCACAACTCACTGGTATCAACTTCGTTGTGTTCTGTCTCAACCAATTTATGTTGAACTTTGATTTCGGCCCCTTTGCTTATGACATGTTTCTACAAGAGAACCACTAATACTTTTTTTCCCCAATCAAACCATGAAAGTTGCATTTTGACCTTTTATATTATGACTTTCTATTAGCTCCTGTTATTTTATGCATTAAATATGTTCTTGTTATATATAAACATTAAATACTTTTTGTTTTTTCAAGTTTTTGGCAGATATACAAGTTGATAACGAAAACATTGTTCCAAGACCATCTACTAAAACAAGGTTGGTGTAAGAGTTGATGACGAGAACATTGTTCCAAGACCTTCAGTGAGTTATGATGATGTCCCTTAATAGCAATGTAGTATTAGGTTATATAGTTAGGGATGATTATTTGTATTTGAGATGTTAGTGCAATGAATTATCTATCTTATTATTAATTGTATTTTATTTTGTATTTTGTATGATATTAACTTTTGTGAAATGGATTGTATTTTTTTGTATATGGTATTTTATTTTATATTATGAGACATGAAATAAAAATTTAATTTGAAAATTAGTAAATCTATAAACAATTTTTTTTTAAAAAAAATTTACGATACGCAAAAATGTGTGTCATCTTCATTTATGACGTGGCCTTTCTTGACAGCGGCTTTAATGATACGCATTGAGTGTCATAAATGTACGTAATAAATGTGTGTCGTCTCACGTTATGACATGGCCTTCCTAGACGCGCATTTGCGCGTCGTCTGAGCATTTTACGACGCGCAATGAGCCTCGTAAAAGGCTGTTTTTCTAGTAGTGCAACCTGGAACATATACCACCATAAAAGTATTTTGAATCCTAACCATTCCCTCTTTACGCCTTCCTTGTCTTTAAGTCCTAGAAATTTATTTGTATTATGCATTGTTCAAACTTCCATTCAACAACAATGGCTCCCAAATCTACTAAGTCTCCATCCAAGAAGAAATCTTCCAAGGGATCCGTTAAATCTTCTTTGTCTGAACCAATTGTTCGTGACACTAGCCAACTGTTTTCATTGAATCCAATAGATTATGACTAATTTGTTTGTGTCATGATCGAGTTCGTCACAACTCATCCCATTGTGATTCCTCTCACTACATAAAATTAACCTCAATCTCATATTCGATTGTAACCAAATGCCATTGAAAGGGTTAGATGTTTACACAAGATCATTAAAGTGTTCATTACACTACCAAAAAATAGCCTTTTATGACGCTCATTATGCATCGTAAAAGGCTCAGACGACGCGCAAATGCGCGTCAAGGAAAGCCCTGTCATAAAGAGAGACGACGCTCATTTACGACGCGCAATTACGACGCTCGTTTACGACACGTAGTGCGTATCAAGGAAGGCCCTGTCATTAAGGAAGCGAAACGCATTCACGTGTCGTAACCTTACGATGCACGTGTTAATGACACGCAATGCGTATCAAGAAATCCCCTGTCAATAAAGGCCATGTCATAAATGAAAATGACACACATTTTTGCGTATCATAAATTTAAATGTTTAAAAAAAATTATTTATAGATTTACTAATTTTCAAATTAAATTTTTATTTAATGTCTCATAATAGAAAATAAATATCATTACAGAAAATACAATCCATTGCATAAATTTTAATGTCATACAAATAAAATACCATAAATAACAAAGATAATTCATTTCAATAATATGTCAAATACAAATAATTATTCTAACCGTGAGTAAATGTTATATAAAAAATGAACTCAAGAGAAGCAGAATATACAATTGCATTATCTTGCTTACTATCTGCCAACAACTCTCCGTGTATTTGCTTTTTGCTTGAGTCTCGTTTCTTCCAAAACTTCTAGATACAGTGGCTTGCTTCTTACTCATTACTGTAAGCAGAACCGAATTACATTAGATGCTAATGTAATTAATTATGTTGTAAAGGATAAGGGTGGGGCTACTAGAAAGACTTATTTATATTCAGCTAGAGCATAAGTATCTTATGAATCTTCACTAACATGAGAACAAAAGGCTTATGGATGTTAATACAAAATAGTTCAGGGGCACAACCGTAAATAAACAATTAAATACTACATGTGGGTTTGATGTTAGAAAAAGGTTGCAAATGCAGCTGTAAACATGCATGAATTATAAACATCATGTAATAAAACTAATTGTATTTTACTCTAAATTCAATAAAACATTACAATTATTCATTTTTTAAATCTCAAATCTTTAATCTTGTAATTCATTCCACTTCCATTTGTAGTATGATGAATCTGAACACAGAAGTGAAATGGCAAAGAATTCTTTAGAGAGATATACTCACTATTATGAACATTAGGCTACTAACCAATCCGTATACAAGGGCATAATTGTAATTTTCTATACATTTGTAAATTTATGTTCCTGATACATAATACTTTGTTTCTTTTTTTCACAATAACAGTCGAGGCAAAAAGCACTTGCGGATTTACTGCATATGCAAACAGTTTATGTAAGTTAGAATTCCAATATTTTTTTGGTAATATTATATTAAAACTAAAAAGTCCTTTTTTTAGTATTTTATTAGGTTTATTAACATCTGGTAAAATTTCAGCTTGCAAAACTTAGTGAGAGGCAATGCCAACCCAAGACACAACTGACTATATACAAACCTCAAATATAAGTGTTCTTATCATTTCATAATGAAGTAATGCCTATAAAACCTACATACAAGAAAAGGAACACTAAAAGCAACAAAATCCCTATTCTGCAAATATCTAAGATTAGCAATAACTTACCTTCACTAGAACCATAAAGCACTTTAGCTACAGAAAGCCGAGGTATTGCCATATATGAAGACATGTAAACAGACCTTGAACCATGCGTCTGTACGGATTTATTCTTGGATACAAAGCTTGTCATCTTGTCATGCAACCGTACACTATCCTGACAATGCATGACTTATCAAAAAAAATCTGAATGCATCTGGTAAGAACTAGAAGAAAGAAGCCCATGAGTCATACATCTCCTATATGTGAATGGTGAAGCTCTAGCCATACAATATCATGATCTTCTAGAAGGGCCTCTTTCTTTTCTGGAAGGCCACCTGTTTTCCTTGCAACCTAAGTAGTATAGTTACTTGATTTATAATAGCAAAATAAAGGTATAAAAAACTCGATGAACAATCCATGGCTAGAGCCTAGAAACAGAGACTAACCTCATGAACATATTTATTCCCATCCATGTTAGGCATTGCATATATATGTAAGAGTTCAAACTAAAAAAAAAAACAAAAAAAAAACAAGTTAGGCATTGCATATGTAAGAGTTAAAATTATATATTGTGATCTGAAAACACGCTCAGGGTAGCTTAAAGTCATATCCAATTTGATAGGAACACCAACCTGGAATAATAAATACTCCCATAAAAAAGAAAAAAGAAAAATGGGGAAGCAAGTGAGTGAGAGTGAGTGACCATTGTAATCTTTAGATTAGGTTCAGGGGAGATAACTGTCCTTCCAGTATACTCAACACACTTCCCAGATAATTTTTTCTGAATACGCCCTTGCTTGCCTTTTTAGCGTTGAACAAGGCCAGTAATTTGTTTGTCATTCTACTGAGATGAATCTGATACATGGACATCACTGTTTACATATTGTGCAACGCTAAGTTGGAGATTATCCTATACACCCTACAACAACATCATCATATGGAACATCTGAATTAGTAGTCTAGCTAATCTGCTTCAACACTTCACAAAAGGGTATCAATAGATAAATAAATAAAAGAGAAAAGAGATTATTTAAGAGGGATAATAAGATTAAATAGAAATAGAAAAACAAAACAGTACCAAGCTTTTGTTATGGACACTTGCTCCTGATAACGCCTCATGAACAGATGCATTGGCTCTTATATTTGAAGCTCATTTCCATGGCTACCCAACCAAACACTAACACAATTGGAAACATCCGACAGAAAGAAGCAAGAATATACTTTGACAGTTCATGTGGGCCTAAAACCCTCCAATTGCAAGTCCCTTGATAAAAAAAGATCCAGCTACCTCAACTACCTTTTTCTTTGTCTTTTAAATCATAACCATAACCAATCATTCTTGATTGGTAATCCTTCAAATCATGTTCTTCGGTATGAGAGAGAGAGAGAGAGAGAGGTCAGATGGCCATTCTTTTCTGACTACCAGACACTGTTCCAAAAAAATCAGAAGGGACTCCCCATTCTTTTCTGACTTTATTACCCTCATCAATCAGCAAGGTAAATGGGAGTTTGTATTTCTTTGCAAATGCCTACGACAATAATAACAAATTTATTTTACTTCATTACACATTAAAAGAAGAATAACAATGGATATACATGTGTATGGGTGTACTAATTGATATGTGTACACATCTACCAAGCTTAAAATTGTAACATTAGAGATTGATTCTTATTATTATTACCTTGTGTGATTCTGCATCATCACCACTAATCTTGATAACCTGGGCTCCTGCTTTCTTGAATTTTTCATAAGAGTCTCTGAATGCACATGCCTAAAGATTGCATAACAAATCTTGTTTATCTACTCATATACTTTCTAGACGAGAATCAACAATAATTTTTCCAAAGATGTTTAAACATCCAACATTAGCAAATGGAAGCTTCGAAAAGATCATTTCCTTAAGGATAACGACATGATAAAATGTGACTCGAACCTGTTTAGTGCAACCAGGGGTTTCATCAGCAGGGTAGAAATAGACCACAAGAGGCTTGCCGTTAAATTTCGAGAGGCTCATAGTTTTACCATCTTGATCTTTAAGTGTGAACGATGGGGGAACAGACCCTTTCTTTACCTGCAATTGCAAACACGGAGACACAGAGGTGTGAAATATTGAACTAGACATATGATCGAGAAATCAATGAAATATACCTTAGCAGAAACAATGGGAGAGGATCTCTATCCCACAATGAAGAAGGTGTGTGACCAAACCACCAGCATCAATTAATCCTAATTTGGAAAACAACAAACCATTAAATTAGAAAGCCCAACGAATTGCAGAAACCCCAACGAATTGCAGAGGAATCTAAAAAAATAGTACCTTGGCGACGTTGAGGGGGTTAACTATGATGGCGGACAAAAACACTGCCCCGGCGGCTGATAACGCCCTTTCCGAGAAACCCATATTGACATTCGAAGGAGAAGCCATCGAATTTGTTTGAATTGAAGAAGAATTTTGAAATTTAATCTCACTTGATGATGATGATGATGATGATGATGCCTCTGCACTCATCGATGCCGACAATCGTTGCCTCGGTGATGAGCTCGCCGTTCCTAAATTATTACTTTCAATCATACATACAAAGATGGTATATAATTGTTAAACACTGTTGAATTTAGTTGGTTTACGAAGGTTGCAGGAACTCCTCCATGCCAAGTCCTTGCGCTTCTGGACTAGGGTTTGTAAATGAGAAGCCATGTTCCCCTTATTTGCTGAACGGATGAAGAAAAAGGACCAAGGCTAGAAGCGCAACTGGACTAGGGTTTGTAAATGTGAGGAGTCGTTGTAGATGGAGTAGGGTAGAGGTGAAGACGAGTTATGTTACCAATTTTATGTTAAGATTATTGTGTCTAATCGTCGCCATAAAGATACAATCGAGATAGAATGGTCTTCGATTTCTGGAAGGAAGCGAGGGTGTTACAGAGAGGGGGGATCAGAATCGCGGTAGATCTAAGGAGAGAGTGATCGGTCTTCAATCCGATCGAGAGTGAATCAGCGCCATAAAGATACGATCGAGAGAATGGTCTTCATGTTTCTGGTGGTGGCAGCTGCAAGGTTTTACAGAGAGAATGAGGGGAGAAAATGAAGGTCATCGGCAGGTGGAGAAAAAAGAATGAGCGGGTCTTCAAAACATTCGGAGATTTTGTTTCCACCGTATCATTTCCCGCCTAAAAGGCGTGTTTCATTAAAAAAAATATAAAGCGACACACTTACACGACGCACATTTTATGAAAGGCTCCCTCCGCATTACTTTTTTTTTCTTTTCTAACACTAATTTTAGGGCACGTATAAATGCACGTCCTCTACCCTTAAAATTTTGGAAAAGTGACATTAGTTTTTAGGGCACGTACAAATGCGCGTCATCTATCAGTGTGTGTCATTGTTTGCGCGTCATTAAAGGCCAGTTTTCTATTAGTGTTACAAATGATAGGATCGTTACTGTTACAAAGGATTTATTTCTTCGAGCCATTGGAGTTCCACAAAATCCTGAAAGTTTTGTTCTTGTTGAGCCTAATGTTGCTGAGTTTCAAGATTTTCTTCATAAATTGGTTATCTTGGAGAGTATAAGGCTGAAGAATTCAATAAATCTGTTGTTTTTTGGGTTTTGGACAATCATAATGCATATGATCATGAAGTGGTTGTCAAGGCAGCATGGTGACTTAAAATCAATGAGCAAGACTAGGATAAATGTGGCGTTTAGAATCTTTACCGGGAGATCAAACGTTGTAGAACTTCCTAAATTTCTATGGAGTGAATTATACAAGTTCACTGAGTGTCATAAGGAGAATGAAATTCCAAATCCAAGATTCATGGATTTGACACTTCAAAAACTCTACTCAAATCGACATGAACATGCTCCTCTTTCTTTAGATCCTCTTGAGGTATTTTGTTCTTCCAAAATTAATAATTCATATCAACTTCTGAGTCAAACCTCATTTGGACCTATCTGACGATTACCACAACACATGCTAGATTTTCTCCATTCCTAATCTCCTTAAACATTAAAAAAACTTGAGATTTCGTAGCTAGTTGACCCACTTGCTCCTACCCAAATCCCAGATGCTCAGCCATTGGAAGGAGTGACTCAGACCAAGAATGAAGGTTGTATCAATATGAAATCCAAGAAGCATCTGGCCTCACCTCCTGTTAAAGTCAAGTCAGAAAGTAGAACCAAAATCGGTGAGTGCTCTCAAAAGGATTCACATATGGTTTCCGACCTCAGACTCTGGGTCACAACTAACCCTACTCGTGCTGGATTAGATGTCTAAGCCCCTTAACTATTATTGGAATGTACTTGACCTGAGAGTAGCATGGTCCATTTTGGGTTGCATATCATCAGGACAATTTGTTAGGATGGACTTTTGAGAGAAGGTTATATATGATTTATTAGTATACTATAAGTACTAATATATTAACATGAATTCATATGGTTTTAATTAGTAATGATCAAGAATTAATTTAGAATTGTTTTAGTGATCAAAAAGAGACTAATTAAATCTATAGGGACTAATTATGTTAATTAGTTACATTTATATGTATTAGGCTTATGATCCATGTTGGACCAAGTTTATGTATGGATACATCAAGAGTTGGGCCACATGAACCGTGGATCATAAACCCATGGGTATCGATTTGGGTTATATCCATGACTCTTGAAATCCTACATATAAATACATACTTCATTGCCCAAAAACACAACTTATGTATCTTCTTGGAGTTCATGGTGTCTTTTGTGTGCATGGAATTATCTCTCAAGTTCATACTTTGTCCATGATGTGTTGTGATTCCACTTGAGGCTTCCACACTATTGGGGCTATGTTCTTTAACGCCAAATACACCAAGACCTCAAGTTCCATCAATAGGTATGTTATGCTAACTAGTATCTTATATGGTTTATATCAAATGCATGCTAGTTGTAAGATTAATACCTTGGAAACCATTTACATTTACAATTAGTGAAAACATAGATCCAAGGTATTTTGGGTTGTATGGGCACCATAGGATGTTGTATTATACCAAAACCCAACAGTGGTATCAGAGTCATGGGTTGTTTTCAATTATACTTGATGCAACTAGCTGGAAAAACCGAATTTTTTGTTGTCTGGACAACATACTCGATGATTCCAATGTGTGACTCGACGAGTCCATGAACAAATTCATCCAACTCATCGAGTTTGTTCATGCACTCGACGAGTTGGAACCCCTAACAGCATATATTCTTGTGTTTGGCATGTTTTGGATTAGAACCATTACCACAAAGTATTTTTGTCCGTAAAATTTGTTTTTGGTTCTATGGTAATGTTTATTCTCATCCAAATAAAGGATAATTGTCAAAGGTTCAAGAGTTATGTTAATTTTTGTGATTAGTTAAGTTCTTGAAAATTGTTGATATGAATTGTCTTTACTTATGAGTTAAATATTGTTCATAGAAAATTTACTTCATTAATGTGTTAATTGGTAATTTGATCTCAATGTTTTTATGAACTCCATAACTTGTCCTCAAGTTATGGGACATCAAAAGTTTTTGTGTTACCTTGTTTTAGGAGTTAATTTAGATTAATGAAAAAGTTATGTGTTAGTTGTTTTCATTCTAAATTGATCTAGAAGTAGTTCATAAAATGTGTTTTTGTAACTTGTCCTCAAGATTATACAAAAAGTCACATTATGACTCTTAAAACTCATAAAATTGCCATAGGTTACATAATGAATGTTCATTTTGTCATAAATAGTTTTATGAACTCCATAACTTGTCCTCAAGTTATAGATGTTCAAGAGTCTCTCATTAAAGTTTTTTAAGACTATAATTAAACTCATAAGTTATGTCAATCCAAGAGTTTTGAAAAGTTTCAAAACTTGCCCTCAAGTTTTGGAATTTGTAAAGTCACCCCCCATGTACACTTTAATTCCAAACCCTAGAATTTTAAAAGTTAAAATTCAAACTTTGTGGACTTCATTAAATTAATTAAAGTGTTTAATTAAAAGAGTAAATAATTCCATAAATACGTGGTTTAAGTTTAATGAAATTAATAGTATAGTTTAATTAATAGATTAAACCATCAAGTAGTTTAAATGTTTAAAATACACCCATATACTATTATAATATTAAAAGTTAATGATTATCTATATATATATATATATATATATATATATATATATATATATATATATGTATAAGAGTAAAGCCAATCTTACCATTAGTAGGCTCATTCACAAAGCCAGTCTCTAAAGGGGTATAAGGTTAATGCCTATAAAATGGAAATTTAATGGGTGTCCACTCTCACCCACCGCTTCCTTGACTGGTGGAGGGTTGTTAGCCGAACGGGCAGGAAAGGACTGTAATTCTCCTTACATTAAAACTATAATGATAAATACTAAGTAACTAAACAATTATAAATTCTCAATCTTAGTTACTTAGTAAAATGTGAATCTGGTGCTAACCCATGAAATTACACTTTGCACCCTTGTTAAGTCGTTAGTGGAGCGTGTGTGGTTAACCGGAACACTAACACGGGACTGACAATATGTGGAAAAGGGTGACTTAAGTTTTATCATAGATCGGTGGAGCGTGTGTGGTAAATCGGCACATCAAATGGGTGATAAAATTAAGGGTACCAAGTCAATTTGCATGGTTATTCACACCTTGTTTGTGATCCTCGGCATCCCATTCACAAACTTGAGAGGGTACAATCGAGATTTAAACATGCCATTGAAAGTTCAATGAATCTCAAAAGATCTAGGAGTTTCAATCCAATTAAAACTTAATAATTTGTTTTGTTTTTCATGGTGGAAATTGGTAAATCGTCATTTACCTACCTTCAAATATTTTGTAGCTTGGATTACATCATCCCTCTTCCAAGTTATAAAATAGTTTGTTGGGTCCTAGCCTTAATATTTCATATTGGGTGTTGTGTTAAGGACTTAAATCAACTGAAACTTGAATTTCTCCCTCATAGATGTCTAAGTTCAGACAACTTTGGTCTTCCTCATCCTTTTGGATAAAGCTTCATTTCCTCCACCTCCTCCAATAATTCTCCCTAGCCCACAAGTTCAAGGTCACTCAATCCCTATTTGGAAAGAAAAGTCTATATGTGCTTACATCTTGGAGATTAAGTCACATGTTGGCAAGCGGGGAGAGTTGGGTGTCAAAGTCTCAACGATGTTGACTGTTGACTGGGTTCTTCAATCACTTCCTAAGTCATATAGTGAGTTCTTTAAGGACTACTAAGTGATAGACCATGACATGACCCTTAATGATCTTACATATTTGCTCAATGCTACTGAATCAGACAATGATTTGGAGAAATGCTAAAGCAAATTTGATTTGAAGATCAACTTCCAAAACATCCATAGACATTTACAATTGTAACATTAGAAGTCCAGAAAAGCTTTCACTTTCCAATGGAATGGGATCGGCCATGGTCAAGTCATTTGACCCAATGGTAAAGAGAAAAGGCTAAGTCTGAGATAGCCTCGTGTACCATTCCTAAAAGTCCATATGTTTCCGTTACCAA